CTGGTCAGAGAAGATCATGTTCATTGCTTTCCCTTGTATATCGCTCGGTGGCATCAATCTTGAATACCTATGGCAGAGGTTCTCCCACGCCCTTGAAAGGATTCAGTCCTACCAACACCGCCCTTTCTGGGTGGCTATTCAGCTACATACAGCAAACATCGATCATATTGGAAGTCCAGAGCTCAAATGGACCCTTGTCTTTGCTTTGATTGGACCCTATCTGAGTCTTCAGTCTTCATGGTCTAAGCTGAATGTCGATCTGAAAGTCGATTTCTGGAATGGTCCTTTTCCAAGCAATTGTTCAGAGGGTTAAACCCCCATTCTTTCTCTCTCTCTCTCTCTCTCTCTGTTTCGTTATATTCTTCTCTTCTTCTTCTTCTCTCTCTCTCTCTCTCTTTCTCAGTTCTCCTCTTTTTTCTCTCTCTCTCTCTCTCTTCCTCATCCACCCCATGTATTTGACTTGTTCTGTATATTATAACACATCATTTATTAAGAACGCTCAGGAGGCACTATCGCCTTCATCTTCGAATAATAATACCAAACCATGTCGGTAACGGAATTGACTATAACATACAATGTGATACATTATAACCAAGGAGAACTGTACATTCCTAGCAATTTTGTATATAGTGAATAACGCATTGATCATGTTGATAGTAAATGCAATGCTCAGTGTTTACTGGACTTTGTGTAAATTTGTTAAATATTGTAAAGGTAATTTTGTAATTTTTATAGAAAACATTGAATTGATACGAAGCGACTAAAATGTGTTGTTACAGAGCATGTGCTCTATAAGTTCAATGTATATCTAGAATCATGTGAAAGTTGTATTCTTTGTAAGTAATGAATTGATATCTTTCTTCGTCATGTTCAGAGTAATAGCGCATATTGTGTTGAATAAAAGTTCACCATGTTAGTAGCAAATTGGAAAAGCTAGTGAAATAGTCGCTGGTTTTATCGATTAAACAGCCAAGGGTATCATTTTAAATTATGTAATTGAGAAGGAAAAAAAAAGATTCCTCTTCTTGATTTTTGACTTGAGATCGAAAATATATTTGTATCAATTGCTGTTGAGCTTCAAATATTTCTCTATTTTAACTAAACCTCGAAGCTAAGAGGCCTATGCGATAAGAAACATTTAAAATATAAAAAGATAGATAGAAATAACCACCTCATCAAACAAGAGAATGCTTTCATTAAATGATCAATGATTTATCGAAATTAAGATGTTTGACTGAAAACCATTGACATGTACATTTATATGTATATGCTTCAATTGAAACATGCGCTGTGATTTGATTTAAGTCGATACACATAGAATGTAGTGTAGATTAGAAGTGTAGTGTAATACTAGTAATACAGATATGATTAAAGTTTTTGCGAGGCACATATTGCAATTTGACTCGGAATTTGTTTCAAAAATAAAAATTATGAAACCCATCTATGACTATCTGACACACAGAACACAAAGCCTGCTGACCACATGCCTGGTATAAAGTTACAGAACGTTAACAAGTTTGCGACATATAGCAGTTGAATAAATTTGAAAGAATTTACATTTTCAATCATTAACAATAACATGAGATATTGTGACGAACACTAAAATTGTTGACCATACATTGCAAGACAAACGAATGTCACCAGCGATATTATTTTCTATACTACATCCGCAATGAGTAATATAATTAGCACTATAATGGTTGTTCGCAAGAAGTTCATTGTATTTTATTTTGTTGTTGAGTGGCCGTTCAGAAGGGGGACTGGGACACGCCACCGGCAAAATTATAGCGTCTATTTAAGATAGACGGGCGTTATCTCATATACTTTAACACAGAGTTAAAGCCCTTTTGGCTCTGAACAGGCGATGGCAGACCCTAAATAAAGTACACATTTTATTTTAAAAAGTGATTTTATAGTGCCGCCTGACAATTTTAGCTACAAAAATGCTTTCCCCTAAATAATACGTTAACAGATGTCGTGTTAATGTTGGCATTGTTTAATCTTTGGTTGTTAGAAACCGATTTCCATGAATTTGAGCAGGGTGCATCTACAATCGGTGTGGGGAAACTGATATATCTCGCAGAACCAAGATAAGAAGTGAATGTTAAATTTACATACAGCGATCATTCTGAAATATCAAATGTCTCCATAAAACTCGGAACACAATTCTAAATAAAGCCTAATTTCCGAAGCCACAGGACCAAAAACCAAACAAAAACACATATGCAGGCTACTAAACAGCATAACTGGCAGCGGCAGCAGAATATGAGAATGACATTAACTCGAATCACCCTCAAAGCGTATTTCATATTTAAAAAACTAGTCGTGTAGGTATGATAACTTTCTGTATCGAATACATCTTTCTTTATAATTGTGTCATATCTCTAAAATATCAACGACCTCTAACATATCGTCTTCCGTCTCGTATACCGCCCTTATTGTGAGACCGTCGATAGTAAGGTCCTGCTTGACTCGGTTCATGACCCTGATGATAATCGTTATCGGGATGACTGTTGTATGAAGATGGGTACAATGATGAGGAATCACTGCAGTGATCACCCATGTCTTCGCCGTGCGATTGGGATGTCGATATAGAGCCATCGTAGTTCCGAAGACGCATCACAACGCAGTTCAGCTCCGCCTGTCATCAAAAAAACAAAGAAAGGTGTAAGCCTAGCTATTATTAGATATCACGTCGAATGAAAAAAATAATTAGACTGTGCCCTTAATTCATAAGGAATGTTACCCGAATATATGACTTTGAATATATTCAATTCAATTCAATTCAATTCAAAGTTTATTCAACACTCTTCATAAAAACATTTAAAACATACAAATACAGAATGGAATGATAAAAAAAAAAAAACAAGATAGTGATAACAAATAACAATGGCAATTTATGAGAGCATTTGGGATAGGCAGAAAGGAGGGGTTCCTTATATGAAAGCCTACCCCCAAAACACATACATACAGGAAAAAAGAAACATGAACAAAAGAACAGAACAAAAAAAAAAAAAAAAAAACATACTAAAACATACTGTCATGTACAAATAGAGTAACAAAAAGTGTCAATCTTCCCCATGCTATTTATCCTGATTATTATACTTATTTCACATAAATTGTTTATATCTAATTTTAATATAGAGGGCAATTTCAAGATAATTTGTCCATTTGTTACCAATCAGGTAAAAGGTTTTAGTACACCCGGCGACAAAAGTCTTTACTTTGATTGTCTCACTGTAGCTGTGAGGATATTATCAGAGAAGGCTTTCGTTTCTATGTTTAAGAATTATGTTAACATAATAGGACACTGAATGTTCAAATACCTTGGACTTGACTTTTAATTGGTATAAATATTCAACATGACTAAGACGGTTCTGATTTCGGCGAGAAAATATTACTTAAATCGAATAATACATAGACTTTTAAAGGAGAAAAGAGGACACAGAGAGGCAAAGAATGAAGGGTTCAGAGAGAAAGAGAGTTTGCGTGTGTTTGAGAGAGAGAGAGATAGATACAAAGAGTGTGTGTGTGTGTGTGTGTGTGTGCGTGCGCGTGTGTGTGTGTGTGTGTGTGTGTGGTTTAATTATAACCATGTAAAATCATAAAATGCTCACTTGACCTGATTCGAGCTGTAAAGTGTTTCCAAGATAATATAATTCAAAATGTTTTTAAAAAACTGTGTACACAACCTTGGTTGCTTTTAATTAAAAAGTCATAATAAATTACTTTGAAATATATCATGATGAAGTATAGAGTTCCTTGTTTTTTGTTAAATGATATCCTCATCGTTAAATTCATCAAAAATTATTTCTGCCACGGGTGACTGAGCACCAGGGTCTTTGAAAGTGTTGTCAAAATCGCCTTGGCCCTAATTGTATACGTGTACCAAGTTTGGGCTGATGGAACGAATGTGGCATGGGTCATATATCATTTGCATAATGCTTCTTATGGTAGTAAAAGATAAATTATGCCCTGTGCTTCAGTGCTTCATTCTTGAAAATGATGCGATGTATATAGGTTTTCACAAAACTTTTTTTCAATACATAGGATAACATTTAATTAATTTGAACAGCCTACAAAGGCCATTTTTTGAAAAAGAAAAAAATCATGTTTAGCGTCCCCGCCCGCTTTCCTTTTTGGGGGGCAACCTACTTTGTGATTTTTTTTTCACTTTTTTTTAATGAAAAAACATGAAAAACATTCTGCTAAAATGATCTTTTCCAGAAGTTTCAACAACAACAACAAATTGCTGGCGGCCATCTTGAAAAATAGCCCGACTGTCAAGGAAAATGTACCGAGCGGCCATTTTGAAGGGGAAAAAAGCCAGGCCTCCTTCTTCCTATTTTTTCTAAAAGGTAGGACGCTAAAAAGTGATGTTTGTTTGTTTTGGGGGCATTACTTCTCGTCTCCTGATATATAGGTTCTCTCTGTATGTAAAGAATTAAGCAATTGTTTTGGGATGAGATAAAAACATTCATTGTTGCAGCCCAAACTTGGTACAACAAGAGTTTAATTATACTTTTTGAAAATCCTGGTCCTTTAAATAGAAATTAGCTACCCTTTAACGTGAGATATGATTTAAGGTCACATAGGTAATAATTTTTTAATTAGAAGCTACCAAATTTGAGTACATTTTTTTATACGCACTGTATATAATATTATATATAAAGAGAGAGAGGGGGTGAGAGAGAGACCGAGAGATAAAGATACATGTATTTAATATTTGATATATATAATAATGATAATTTATATACATATATTGTTCTCTCTCTCTCTTTCTCTCTTTGTCTTTCTCTCTCTCTCTCTCTCTCTCCCTCTCTCTCTCTCTCTCTCCCTCTCTCTCTCTCTCTCTCTCTCTCCCTCTTTCTCTCCCTCTTTCTCTCCCTCTTTCTCTCCCTCCGATTCTTGTTCATCTTGCTCTTTATCGCTCTCGCCCTCACTCTCCCTTTACTTTCTCTGCAGCTCTAGCTGGCCTCTTCACTCAAGCGCGATCACATGACCTTAGTGGTCACATGATCGTTGTGTTTTCATAACGAGTACGAGTTCGAGTGAACCGTGAAACATGGAGTTTCTCTTTTTTGTTTTCTTGTTACTAATCGGGACATTGTCCACTTGCTTAGGATCATTAAGTCCATCACGACTATGTGTGATAGAAAATCGGGTTGGAACCCATCGGGGAATGCTTGCTTTCCGATCGGTTACTCCAGTTGCTGTGCAGATAAGCTACGGAAATTCGGAGGCTTCGTCAGCCGGATGGAGTCCGTGGAAGACGCTTGGTGCTCCGCTGGCCAGTCAGCCGATGTCCAATCCGGTGTGTGAGCACACCGATCGGAATCAAACTCAGGTTTGTCCACCCCTCGTTGTTTCTTCTTTAGAAAAATGTCATATTATACTTCTTTTGATGCACATGTATACAAAAGTTTGATTTGCAAGAATCTCCTGAATTGAACATGTATTGTTAGAGGAAGAGAATTGAGAAGGAGAAAAATGAAAAGAATTAAGAAGAAGAAGGAACAAAAATGAAAGAAGGAGGATGAGGAGGAATTACATGTAGGAGAAAAGAAGAAGAGTATGATGATGATTAGGCCTAATAGTAGTCATAATGCACATATCGTGATTGTTGCAGTTTAATTTCATTATTCAGTTAGTAGAATGGTCTGGATGGTAGTCCAAACAAATAAACTAGAATGGAAAAGGACAAGTGTACAACTAGTCTACAAGCAGTGAGAGAGGGAGAGAGAGAGAGAGAGAGATATTGTTACAGCTGATAGCTCATGTACAGTATCATAATAGAAGATTGAATCCCTTTCGATTCTGAGCCCTGATTATCCTGCTTCTCTTTGGAAAGCAACAATGATCAGGCTCAGACGCTTGGTCACATGATGATTATTCCTTACAAAATTGTTAGCTTGCGCTGTATTCTAGGTACCGGGTAATGGTAAATTTTGAAAGGATTAAAAAGGATTATTTTAAGGTTGGTTAACTTGATTGCCACAGGGATTGGTGATGGGGGTAAGGAGTAAGATAAGTACATATAAGTTCAGTGCCAAGATCTATGAAGATCTAAATGACTGTACTTTACTATGTTTGAGTAAAAAGTGAGCAAATGCTTTAATAGGAAGCTGGTTTCTTGACCTGTTACGTATTGGAACCTTGTGATTCCTGTACTTAACCTATGGGAATAATTATGACAATTCAGTAGTCAATGGGTTAACTTTATTTGAAGGCTTCTAGAAATGAATTTAGGTCTTCAAGAAAGCTTTGAGTTCAGAATTGAGCAGTAAAAGTTTGCTTTAATGACTGTCAATTTTAAAAGCAAATTATTCAGGACTTCAGGTGATGTGGTAAATTGTGGTTGCAATTTAATTGGCAATCATTCGGGCAGATAGCTTTGGTTTTAACAAATCAAAGCCTTCATTACAATATCTGATAATATCACTCTGAAAATGGAAGAAAGAATGATAGAGTACTGATATTACTAAGTACAAGTAGAAGGTTTGCTACTTCTTTGTGGGGAAAAATGGTTCTGTAGAGGAATTACATGTACACTAGAAATAAATCAGTGGTTGAATTAAATGTCTTGAACATAGAGGTCAGGGCCTAGGCTTAGTCACAGAGGGTAGAGGAGATGGGGCTCTTAACACCAAGCAAATGACAAATGACAATGTAATGTACATGTACATGTAAGTCCAGAATCTGGACGGTGTTATTTTCTTTCGCGGTCGCGATCTCTCCCATCCACAAATTTGCATGCGTCATTAGTAAGCCCAGTCGAAACACATTTTTTTGCTGGGCACAGAAATTTTGAGATCATATCATCTTCGGCTTGCATCAAGTAGAAGGAGATCGTTTAGTAGGTGATCATCGGATCATTGCAAGTTAAATTGGCCAGATTCTGGAATGCGATGGCCAATTTGCCTTTTTCTCGTGCACTTCAAACACCAATGCCCCACCCATAACACCAGTGCTCCCTGCAGTAGCTGGAGTCTGCTGGACTCTTCAAGGTAACAAGGTCAAAGGTTAAAAACGAAACAAAGACAAGCTTGTATTATTGGACCCCAAAGATCAGGTGTCAATCATTTAATTTTTCATAGTCATTAAACTTCTCGATTTAACGTTTTCATAGTAGTGTGTAGTGGTGGTTATTTTACCTGACTGCTAAGATAACCCCCACTACACACTAGTACTACTATGGAAACAATGATGATTATTGATTAGTATGGCCTGTTACTCTGTCAGCAGGATGAATATAGTTTAACCAGACAGTACATGTAGTGTACATACATGTATGTGCTTGATGATATATCTCAATGTCATTCCATCATAACTTCATGCTGGTCGATGCCATGTGAGTAGTACCCACCAAGACATTTTATCTTCTTGCTCATCTCTCTTCTAGATCTTTGTGCAAGCCTCCAATGGACAGGTCTACAGTGCAGTGCAAGATGCCGTAGAGTTCTTGAAATTTTCTCCATGGAAGAAAGTTGGTTCAAACACCATCCCTGTCACCGAGCCCAAGCGATCCATTCTTGTTGATTCTGTATCTGCATACTGGTATGGCAAGGAGCTGATGGTCTTCGCTCGCTCAATCAGCAGCAATGCTTCACAGCTGTATTGGTGTAAAGGTATCTACTCAATTATCATTAAATTGTTTGGTTATGCACACCAGGCGCGGATCCAGGATTTCTTAGGGGGGGCCCAAATTTGAAATCAATTTGAAATTTAGTGTGCTGAAATTTGAAAATCGTGCCGGCCGATATTTCACTCAGTGGGGGGGGGGGCCTGGATCTGCCACTGATGCACACCCTATCCTTCACCATCATCCTTATTAAACCACAAACTACTCTGACATGAATTATGATTACCCAATTGGTAACAGTGTATTTCAAGGAGAAAACCCTCTTGCTCGAATTCACAGATACCAGTAAGCATATTCCATGCTTGTTCAATGAGACCTATCATCAACTTGGTCTGGGGCCAAATAGATGCATCAAGAAATAATTTCTGAACAAATATTTGATCTTAATTGATAATTACCCTGTAAATGTTGACCTTCAAGAGATAGAGAGGTAGAGATAAGGATTATTTTTCACTTGGTGACTGATATATTAGAGTGGTCAGATTTGTCAAATACTTTGCTTGTGCATTTATACACAGGAGGCTTGATGGCATAGGGAGGGGGTGGAACTTGTCCCCTTATGCTACTCTTGAATTATTTCTGTTTCCTTTTATGAAAATTATGTCAAATCATTTTGTTGCACCTTCCTTCCTGTTGATTGCATTAATGCTCTGAATAAAGGCAATCATTTAATATGAAGTTGAAATTAAAGAGCCATTTGTAAAATCACTCTTCTTTTTCTTGTTGTTGTTGTTCTTCTTCTTATAATTATTACTTGTATTATAATAATAATAATAATAGTGGGTTCTTGTTTAGTGCTCATGTCAGTCAGATTTGACCCTCCTGGCACTCCCGATTATTACTTAGTAGTAGTAGTAGTATTAGTAGTAGTTTTATAATTTTATAGTATTGTTGTTATTATTATTATTATTATTATTGTTGTTGCTATTGTTATTATTCTTATCATTAATATTAGTATTGTTGTTGTTATTTTTATTATTGTTATTATTATTATTGTCATTATTGTTGTTAGCAGTAGTGATAGTACTGTAATATTATTATAATTGGTAGTAGTAGTAGTAGTAGTAGTAGTAGTAGTAGTAGTAGTATAAGTATAATAGTAGTTTCATTATTATTATTAATGTTATTGTTATCATCATCATCATCATTATCATTATTGTTATCATTCTCAAACCTTTAGGCAATTCAACCAGTTTTGGTTCGTGGAGTCGTCTTGGTGGTACAGCCATCTTGGGTACAGATGTCACGCTCATGAAGAATCCTTACAGCACAAAGTACGAAGCTTTCATGATATCACCTAGTGGACGGATGCACAGGACATGGCAACACGATGCTAAGAGCTTTGCAGACTGGACTGCTATGGATTGTAAGACCAAGAGCATGTTCATACTTCTATTTGATTGCCTAGGGTACCAAAGCCTTGTTCACATAATAATAATAGTTGTTACTTTGTTCTTATATAGTCTAGGACCGCATTTGAGGACCACAGGCCCTCTCAAAGTGCTTACAGATATATATTATTACCCCGGTCATCGGATTCACACTTACCCCCACACAATGTATGCACTTTCTCTACTCCCTGGGAATGTTCCAGCCAGGCGTCAGTTTTACAAGCGCACACTTGCTCATCTAACCACAATAACTTTCGCATCCTACCAGGTACACATTTAACCCCTGGGTGGAGAGCCCGGCCCCCCCCACTCAGAGGTCGGAATGACCGCATGCGTGTTGCCAAAATGTCCGGTAAAGGGGTACTTTTCGTGCTACAAAGTCGGGCCCGAGAATTGTAAAAAAAGGGGTGTATTTGACTTTTCACCCGGAGATTTCTTTAAAAAGGGGGTGTTTTTTTTTCTTTTTCTCTCATCTCTTTGGACTCCTGAGAAATTATTCCGAATTTTGGGGGGTACATTGAGCATTTTTCCTGATTTAGGGGGGTCTCCAAGGCAGGAAAAGCCCGCGAAATTCCCACGAAAGGGGGGTTCGGAAATATTGGCAGTCCTCAGATAGGGGGTGCTTTCAAAAAGAGGGAACGAGCATATGCGTACCCTAAATAACATTGAGTGGGGGGGCCGGGGTGGAGAGTGGCAAACAAAGATCATTGTCTTGCCAAAGGACATTAGTGCCGCAGCGGGACTTAGACCGTGAACCGTGATCCACAGCCGGGTGACATATCCACTTGACCACGACACATGGCAATGTATACAAAATCTATTTTACATGTAGAGAAATGCAAAGTAGGTGTTAAAAAAGTTATCTCCACGTAACAAGGGCTTATACGGTACCTTAGCAAAATAATGGCACGAAAAGACACATTGGAACCCAAAAGGCATACCAATTTATGATGTTTGAGAATGGATAGGGTGTTCTTTTTTTCCTCACAAATCTGAATGAAATTTCAGGTAACATTAATCCTAGTACATGCATTTCCCAGCTCCACATTCTAACGAGGTGGTTATAGCACTGTTTGATAAAAAAATGGTTTTTGACAATAATGATTTTGCCATCCAGCTGCATCTTTTTGTGTCACTTCACTTGGCTAAGTTACGTACATGTACATGTGTAAGTGTACTCCTAAGTGTATCAGGTACAATACACTTTGTACCAGGATGTTTTATTGTGCCGCAGAAGGGGGGGGGGGTAAGGCGGTTAACCATTCACTGCATCGTGCGTGTGTGAGCAAGGCATTACACAGCTCAGTGAAAGTACTACGTCATATCTACTTCTTCAAAATCAGTTGCAAATTCATCAATTTTGTGAAATGTTGTTGGCATTCAGAATTTCATAAAGAAGAATGGCGTTTCATTAACCAATTACTGCCATTGTTTCATTTGAACCGACATAGTAATTCTGACAAATAGAAATGAAGCAGTGAATCTCTTTTGCCCAAGAATAGTGTCAGCAAAAACGCATCCTAAGTTACTGTCATAATTTCATAATCCATTGTGATTTATTCAATGACTATACAATCATGTATACACCCAACTTGAAACGAGAAACTCCTCCCTATTACAATTTTCGAAGTACTTTTATTATTAATATAAATTCAGTAAAATCTGGCTTTGAAGCAATGATGAACAATAAACTATATATCTATCTGTTGATATTTCAATCTATCTACTTTGTTTTTCTTATGATTGATTACTATTTCAACAATATATTATGTTTCTGATATTTAAACTTGAAATATTGCTTAATAAAGCTTTAATGTTTTGTTTTTTCAGTTGCGCCAACTTTCTCCACCATTTCCAGACCCGATGCTGAAATAATGGGTTACAGCATCTTCAATGGCAAGCTTATGGTTGGAGGGGTAGGAGAGGATAATTATATTCATAGGTGCTCCCAATCTACCTGTGATGGAGTGGACAATCCCTGGGGTTACTGTACGTGGGGCTCCTGGTATCAGACTGGAGGGAAGATTCCATTCACTCTAGGAGGGGTGCAGAACAATTTTGCCATGAGCAGGAATGTGCACTTTGGGGTTGAAATATTTGGAGTGCAAGATACAACTGGACAGTGAGTATAAACCTTGACTTATTTTTTGTTAATCACACCCTTTTGCGATGATAATCACTGGAGTGTTGGCTCAGTCAGTAGAGCATTCTCAGCAACCGGAAGGTTGGGGTTTGAACCCTGGCCGCGTCATACCAAAAGATGTTAAAAGGTGGGAGTTGCTGCTACCTTGTTTGGCGTTCAACAATAAGGGATAGAGCAACGTTGATTTGGCACTGCTCAGTGGCTGCCGGGTTCACGATCAATTGGGCAAAAAGAATTTCCGTTTCGGTTTAATAAAATTTGGAGTGGACTGTAAAAGATTATTATTATTATTATTATTATAAACCTTTCTGATTTGTCAACAGCACCAGAAAGATATATAGGAAAAAAAAGCAGGAAGTACTAGACCAAGAAGAAACCCAGAACTAACTGGGAGGGGAACATTAAGACCGGGAATGGAATGAAATGATGATGCGAGAGTGTACTAGGGTGGCGGAAAACAGAGATGTGTGGAAAAAGGTGGAATCAACCTTCGACCAGGAGGAGATACCTTGATAGAAAGAACAGCAGCAAGTTTCATGGCAAGAAACTTTTGTGAATTGCAAATAATTAGTGTTGCGTTAGTTGTGATTCTTTCTTTTTGTAGTTTCAGGCACACATGGTTTTATCGTTAATGATGTTAGCAAACCTTCTTCAGTATACAAATGATGTATAGGTTTGAGTGCGTCGGTAGGGATTGTGTGCACAAGGTACCTTTAAACCCACGAGGCGCAGCCGAGTGGGTTTTAAAACAAAATTTGAAGGTACCACACACACACAATTTCACCGACCCACAATTTAAACCAGTGCATCATCTGTTTTATGAAATAGGGCCAAAAAAAAATTTAAAAATACAAAAATCTGTTATTTTACAGATTACTGGGTGCATGGCAAAATCATGCTTTCCGTTAATTACGAACGCATGATTTTGCCATAGCCATGTATCCGGTATGCATTGACAATAAAAAGGCATTATTAGAGTACCATGAATAGAATGCAAGCAACTGCATAGGATGATCAATAAATAGGCATTAAAATCAATTAAATTAAATAAGGTAAAATATGACGATAGAGGAGCATAGAAGCATACTTAGGACGTCTTTTTTCCCTTCTTTTTTGCATGCTATATTAAAAGGAACAAGGAAGTTGCCTTTTCTTTTGTTCTTACTAGATAAGGGACATATGACACACTGTAATAGAATACCCAGATCTATATATCACCATAAATGAAACGAGCTGATAAGTAAATTTAGAAGTGAGGTCAAAACGTGGTGTTTCATTGATTAAAAAGAAAAAATCATGATGTTTGTTTTTGTCATGTCCACAAAATTTGACCTCAGTTATGGTCATATTTTTCATTGTTTCATAGGCATTGTCTTAGCTAGTTGATCTGACTTTATTCACAGTAATACTTAGTTGACCATCTGCTAACAGTTGATAGCCACACTCATGTATACACTATACATGCAATCATATTATACAACGTGGTTGTATATTAATACTAATGCCTCTATGTTTTAGTTGCATGTATGAGATTGACTGATTTTACACGAATGTACATGTAGCTTTTGATCCAATAGTCTTTTATTTTAGATATTCTTTCTATGTCTTACATTAACAATGGCTTTTCTTTATTTCTTCCTATTTTTTTGGTTCAAAATTCTTATCGTATCTCTTCATTCTTAGTCCAGTTTTTCTGAAATTTGACTAGCAGATTTCTCTTGATTAATTATTTTTCCTTCTACTACCGCACGTGCCACATCTATAATGCATTCCCTTTTAAAGACATGTAGAGTTGTTGTAAAGTATTTGGCACCACCTGTGCCTGGGAGGCAAAACGTGAACTGAATCATTATGACCCTTGGGTCTCTCCTCCTGGTATATTACTGATTGGGGGTGGGCAGGTGAACCACTACACCAGGGTCCCCCCTACTCTTATACAAATAGTTCAGTAGGTTCTTGACGTGCTAAGGTGGTGACTCTTCTCTTCTCTGGGCCTCCATTTTAACGTCCAATCCAAGGGACAGAGTGTTTTCCACATAACATAGCCTACGTCAATAAAACAGGAGGGGGCACGTCAACACATAGGGTATTCTAGTAATGATGCTATAGTCCTTTTTCATAGTCTTTTCATTCCTGATTGACAGGTTATGGCAAGCCTGGCAGCTCGATAGAGACGCTTCTTGGAATACATGGAGCAAGATTCCTCAGGACCTGTCTAAGGCAGCGTTTATCAATAACCCATACATCACCGTCAACAAGGGTGGCTGGTGGATGGCTTATGGACTCAATGCCAGCAACCAGGTAAACATCCATCCATTCATCCATCCATCCACTGTTTCTTACTTAGCACAAAAAACCAAACAGCACATTGCTCAAATCAATGCGCTTTACATCAAGAACTTCATGATAAAAAGAAAGAAAAAAGAAATAAGTCGACATTGACGTAAGAGGTGTGTATCTTAAGGTTTTTCTTAAATGAGTCAAAGTGGAAGTATGGGTGAGAGACAGGAGGGTGCTCCATCAGGGGTTTTTGTCTGTTGGAGATGTTCGAGATCTGAAACCTTTCTTGTATGTGTTTTATCAAAAATATTTATAAGCAATAAACAATGTACACATTTGCTAAAATATGTGATTCTTGGGAATCTGGTATAAAGTGTTGAAGCAAGAGGTTTACTGTTGCCAATGTAGTTGCCAATTTAATCATTTATCGTTCCCCACAGGTAGTAGTGATGGAGCCAGCACGGTCCCTCAATGTTACACCAGACAGTGTAGCATGGGGCACCAATCTCTCAGTGTCCTGGTCTGTGGCTGTGGATGAGGCAACCAACATGGACTGGGTGGCTATCTTTCCTTCTGGAGCAAACGATGATGAATATGTGGATTACAGGTGGGTCTATGGTTAACCCTATTATAACTAGGCGTTTGAGAGCTATGTTTTACTTAGGAGAGGGGGTCATTTTGAACTCCCAAAGGGAGGTATGACTGATGTTGATTGCAGGTAGAAGATGATTGCAGGTATGATTGATGTTGATTGCAGGTATGATCGCAGGGATGATTGAAGGTGATTGCAGAGACAATTGAACTTGACCAAGGGTTTGATTGACATTGAGTGAAGGTATGATTGAAATTGGTTGTAGGGATGATTGAAGGTGATTGCAGGGATGATTGAAGGTGATTGCAGAGACAATTGAACTTACCAAGGGTTTGATTGACATTGAGTGAAGGTATGATTGAAATTGATTGCAAGTATGTTTTTGGAGGACTCAATCACTCAATCTTGGTTTGCATTCAGTTAGAGCAAGCAGTGTATCCATGGGTTCTTACCTACCCACTGACTGCAGTTGATGTTAGTCTCATGATATATTTATAACTGTATGTCCAAGGAGCTCTCAACCTTGGAAAGCATCCATTAAGAACGGTCAATGTTTCTATGGCTTCATTAATATGTAATGACTGAAGTTGAAGTTAATCTGTTTGATTGAAGTTGAAGATAATCTTTAAAAATCTTTTATTTCAGGTATGTTCAAGGAACTCTCAACCCTGGGAAGTACCCAGTAAGAGCTGGCAATGCATCAATGGCTTCATACCTACCTAATGGCTCGTATCAGGTTAGATACCTCGTCAACAAGAAGTATGTCAGCATCGTAGAGACATGTAGGTCGTCAAGACTTTTACCATTTTTAGAATGTCAAGGTCCTCCCACATTTCTCCAATTAAACAATTATTTTTATCTGGCTAGCAATTTGCAAAAGTCTTCCTCTCATGTACTATTATTATTATTATGATCAATATATCATTATCTTATGGGACTATAGTCATTTTGAAATACATCTAGAAACTAAATCAAAGAATTATCTTCAACTGATTTTAAGCACTGCCTCAATTTCACATTAGGCCCTATAAAAAAGATGTTGTATTGCCTTTTAGGTGCCAAAACATGGGTCGGTCGGTCAGAAATCTTGTTGTTTTTTTCCTCTTTTTTTTTTTACTCCCTCTTTTGGCTGATATTTCTCAGTTTTGAATGCTTTAATACATTTTTTTCTAAAAAAAGGGGGAAAAACAACTTTTTTTAAAAGCCGACCGTAGATTTCAACAAATTTGGGTCAGTTGCAAAGGGCAATACAACATCTTTTTTTTTAGGCCTTATGGTGGTATTGATAGAGGGTGGAAAAAATACCTGATTAAAAAAATACACTGTTGGGGTCATGGGTTCAAACCCCAAGATGGTATTGTAGCTAGCGTTTTTACATGAATTGCTCCTTTCTACCCAGGTGTGTAAATGGCAACTGGGCGATCCAACTTCACAGGTTGGGCGATCCAACTTCACAGGTTGGGCGATCCAACTTCACAGGTTTTCACAACCTTCATGGAAAGCCCCGCATATAACCTTTGTAAACATAGTTAAAATTTACTGTTACTTTGTATATTTTGATTTTTATATTGCGAAATAAAATTGAATTGAATTGAATTGAACTCAGTAGGGAATGAATGTCACTGTGGGTTGAATTAACATGTATATACCTGTAAATTGGGGATAGGCTTGAATGGTCTGCATGGAGGAAGGTGTGTGCAAAGTTCTGTTTGGAATTAGAATAACAAGCTATAATGGGTAATTGAAAGCACTTCATGAAGATACTTTGACAGAAGAGGTTATCATAACTAAAACATGATTGATTTGAGGGACCATTACGGTTACAATGAATAAGTTTGCTCTCTTCTTCTCTGGCCGCCATCTTTTGCACTCAGAATATTGCTACAAAAATTTGTATTTGTATAATTTTTGTCATTCTAATTTTGTTATCACCATGATTATATTGTTTCGTTGTCATATTTCTTGAAAGTGCCGAAAAAATAATTAAAAAATAAATAAATATCCCTCTTCAGATATCACTTATTACAATGAATCTCAAGAGAGTGACTTGCTGCAGCTTTACCAGGGGATATTCACAGGGCTCGGAGCATTCAACAAGGGCATAGGAGAATGTGTGAATGACAGCCTTCTTACCGTGGAGAAGTTTCAGGCTGCATTTGATGCCTTTGAGAATGCTCAGGTAATGACCGTTACACCCTTTTCACCCTTGGTTTGTTAAATCACTTGGAGAAAAAATAGAAAATAAAATAGCCAAACCGTACTGCTATTTATAGCACTCATATTTTTTCCTCTTCCATCTGCTCTGCTACTCATTTCCTTACAAAATTATGTATTTTTGGCACAAGATTTTTTTAGGCTGCCTACTCTAGTACTGCAAATGAGACCTAAGGTTGCAATCCTGTGATAGGATGTTAAAGGAGACCCCGTGTAGAGGAGAGTCACCACCGTTGCATGTTAAGAACCCACTGCACTATTTGTATAAGATTAGGGGGAAACCCTGGTGTAGTGGTCCACCTGCGCACCTCATTATAGTATGACAATACTCTGTAAAGAGGGATGTACTCCAATGAAAGAAGAAGACTGATAAGCATGAATTGAGAGTGATATTGTATTTAATTCTGAGAGTGCCACCGAGTACCGGTACAAACATATTTTTTACGGAATTTAAGTGACAAGATTGCAATCAAAGCCCCCTTGTTCATCCTTCATCTTGATGGTATCTGTGTACATTTCAAAATGCTCAAAAAAAGATGTTCCTTATCTGGTTGAAAAGCACTCCTAATTGTAGATGATCTTGGTCATCAAAATCAGACTAGATGACCTGAAAAGTACTCCTTTCATAGAATATAGAACTGTAATGTGAGCAAATTGTAATGTTGAGATTATATCATCCCCAGGACTTAAACACTTGAGTAGAAAGATATGAAAATGTAGGCGTAGCATAGAATTTTAATTATCCTGCTGTTTATCAAGTTGAATTATTGAAATGTGACAAATCCGTTCTCAAAGCTTTTCGAATAATGGCTTAATATGGTAACACATTTTTCCTGATATGGGCTCTATTGTAGGTAATTATTTTTCTAAATTTGTGTTGTTAGTTTTTATCATGAGGATTATTCTAAAACATTTTTTCAACCGTCAGATCTATGAAGGTCTCCAGCTCCTAGGAACAGCCTTACAAGACGTCGCTTACACACTGAAGGAATGTGAAGAGATTTACATCGCCGTGCAACTTGAGAGCTTCATCAAAGACCTGGTAGAATGCACGGAGAGCGACTGTACCAAGTTTGTCGTCGATCTTCTGGAAGAGATCATCATTCTGTATGTGAACGAGTACGAGATCTACGGAGACATCAAAGGTGCGTCAAATAGTTTTAATCTGCTTGAAGCTTACCAGCAAGGAGGTCTGTGCATTGGAAGGCTGGTGAAGGCATGTCTTGGGATAGTGCCACCGGGGAAGGACTATGGCAGAAGAAAAGATGTGAACAAGATCGGGCTTGAGCATCTCAAGTGGAGTAAGGTGGACAGAGTTTGAAGTAAATTAATATGCAAGGTACTTAAATGAAATGTATTGGCTAGAAGAAAAGCATCCAGACTGCAAAATGCATTCTTTATCACCCAGAAGTAGAACCACATTTTTTTCCCCTTCAAATTCAAATTCTTTTAGTTCACCTCTCTTAAAAAATACAATGTATGCAGAAATAAACAATTTAACAAGAACATTGAACAGAAAATAGTCAAATGATACAAATTTTAAAATATTGCATCCACTGTGATGAAGCGGATGTGAGGGAGAAGCAAAGGCCATTGACCTGCTCCCTGTATTAACATTCCATCACTGTCACAAATCAAAATTCAAAGTATAACATCACTATCTATTACCCTTGTTTGTTCTGGCTGTGTCTTTTTGTGTCACTACATTTCTCTGGGCTACTTAAATCAAATTACAATCGGTCTTCCATTTTATGCTATATTTAAGATGAAATGTATTTGGGAAACTTTAAGTTTAATTAAGCACATTTTACTTGATTTTTGTTAAATAATTGGTGCTTTAAATTATTGAAAGACATAAGAAGAAAGTCTTTACTATGGAGATACAGTAGATGAGCTATGGAAGCAGTACTAATATTTAATACTTCATAACATTCTTCTTGAAAATCATGCTAACTTTTTGTTAGCATATATATAATATACTAAATATTGGGCTTTTATTTAATTATTGATATATTTATTTTCTGTTATAAAAGAAGACATAAGCTGAACAACCCCAGATTAAAAAAGTGCGCTATTTCAAGGCTCTCTTTTAATTTGATTTTTTTTTGGTCATATGCCTCAGCCACTGTTTAAGTATCATACTTTAAGATTGATTGTTTGTCAAGCTATACTTGAGATTACAATACTGCAGAAAAATTCCTTATCATTATATAATATCTAGATTTGATTTTAGATTCATCAGGTGTTTGTCATTATCATTATGGACAGGTAAAGTAAAATTGAAGTTTATAGCAGAATATAGGTAGAGGTTTATTGATTTTAAAGGTTGAACTTTCCATCTAACATGATATGATGCCAAAGCAGTGTGTCCACATAGTATCCAAGGGAAAAAGTATAATATTTCTCAGAAAAAATGAAAATTGCAGATTATAATGATAGGTATTGATCCATCAAGGAATTGAAGGGATGAGAGAAAATGGCAAACTAGGCCAGAGGAAAAAAATATAGGTGAGCATGTAGCACGGAAGGCTGAAGACAAATGGGAAGAAATCTTGTTTGGCTGAAAATTTAGAAATATTACGCAATTTCAACAACTATCAAGAAGTCAACTTAACAGCTATTTCATTGCCCTTTTGTTTTGCTGTTATGTTTTGATTAGGTAACCTGTCATTGTACTGTTTATAATCTTAATAATTGATCCATCAGGATTATTGAAATAGTGTTAAGTTGATTTCCTAAAGCCTCTTTGATAGTCCTACAAGGACCAAAAGAAAAAAAGGAGAAGGAAAAGACTTACGTAGGCAACAGAAAAGGCTGGAGTTGTGGATAGTGCAATATAAAAGTTGAAGATGAAATTTGGATATGGCTGAAATATAAAAGATATGAATGAATGAGTGCGTGATGACAGACATGCAAGGAGGAAAGGAGATGGACATGGCACAGAACATGGTCAGAGGTGGGAAGGGATGGTCAAGAGTAGATGAGCATATAGGAGAGAGAATGAAGGGGACAAGGCAATGTTGTTCTCCATTATGAGGTGAAAATGAAACTCCTTGTAGCTACATTTTGTGGATGAATGCAGACAGTAAAACAAACAAAGCTTATTATGTTGTTAAGGAACACGAGGCTATCAGCAAAGGAATCTTCCCTGAAATGACTCTGCACAAATAAATCCTGTATAAAATCTTAAATGGATGTTATTCTGAATCAATGTTGAAGAAGTCAAATGTAGCTGTATTGGCTAGATGACGAGTAAGATGAAGTTACAGATACTGCCTTCTTGTCTGTTTTTGTTCACATAAGGAATACAAATATACAGAGTAAAACTGAGATATATACATGTAACTAAAGGCAGTCGAGGGATGAAAGTTATGATATATATAAGGTTTGAATGATAAGAGTAGGAAGATATTAGTACTTAACATGAAGTAGTTTGAAGGAGAGATGGGTACAAAGAAATAACAGGATTCAAAAGCATTCTTTCATGAAACCTTTGTTAGTACAAGTTCTCCAATATCGAACACCTGTTTATTTCACTTCACATGTTTTAATAGGATATCAGCAAACTTGTACTTCTGAACGTTTCTTAAATCAATGCTCTGGATTCTGAGAGGAATTAGCAGCAAGAAACTGAAAGTGCAAAGGCTAGAAATGTGGTCCAGAGTTTTTAAATAAATGTCTAAATCTGATTAAAATAACCATGCAATACTATGCTCTTGAGTTTGATGTTTAATATCATTTTCCTAGCATTTTTTTAATCGTGTTAGAAAATGAGAAAAGAAAGTGTTGCTTTTGCAAACAGTGTGTGTGTGTGTGTGTGTTTTGTATATATAATTATATAGAGAGAGTAAGAGAGAGAGAGTGCCTCCAAGAAAAGATGAAAACTGAAAACAAACGGTAGTTGTGAACAAACTATGAGCCTTATATTTATAATTTTCTCATTAGTGTTTATTAATAGAAAATGATATGAAACTGTTGCTTCTGCATACTACAGTATGTCCAAGAAAAATGGTGATTGTGAACAAGCCATGAACTGTATAAATATAATTCCATGCTTTTTATAAAGAAGTTATATGCTTTTAAATCATAAACTGTTTACATATAACTCTATACACGCTTTACTGAGCAACATTATCATGGAGCTAAAGCTATGGTCACAAAGGTTTGTACGAACGATTATTTTGTACGAATCTACCTGTTTTTCCATTGGCTTCCAGAATTTCCATTGTATAAAAATTGTTGGTATGGCGTTCACAGCAGTTTGTAAGGGCATTTGTGACCTTGATGATGGAATGGGTTGTTTTGCAAAGCCATTGTGTTGCACAAAGCAATCCTTCCTTCAATCGGTGACTCTTTCTGTGTGTGTACGTGTGTGTGTGTATGTCTCTCTCTCTCTCTCTCTCTCTCTCTCTTTTTCCCTCCCCCCCCCCCTCTCTCTCTCTCTCTCTCTCTCTCTCTATTTCATGCCAATGGTGAGTAATCAATAATTCAGAGCATAAAAATAGTTAAAAATAACAAACTAATTGCATGTTGTTTATTACAATTAAATGTACGTAGACTATATAAACTCACGAGATGTATATAAAATTCTCTCCCAACTTCATTGCATTATCGAACCATCATCGTTATTGTTATTGTAGAATTAAACATTAATGTTTGATCTGTGATAAAATGATGAAAGGCAATAGTAGTGTAGCAAATAATGTGCGAGTACCTGTATGAGATTTTCAGAATAGCACTTGCTATGATAACAATTAAAATACATGATAATGGCAACAAATATATTGTTCACCAATAAATCACTCTATTCAACAACAAAAATGAAGAATAACAAGGAACTTTCAATCGTTTCACACATAATTACTGTACTTCTATGATAAATTTCATTTATATTATTCTTATTCTATATTTGAAAGTCCTTTGGTTTCAAAAATGAACAAAATAGAAAATTTGTAACACTTCATCATACAAAAGTAGTATACCAATTGCACTTTAGCAAGATGTAAGAATATGCTGCATAATGATCATCACTACATGTAGTAATATATAAATAACAAAATATAAACAGAAAACGTAATAAAAGAATTTTTGTGGCAAATGTAAAAATGAAATTATTGTAAGAAAGCTCTCTAGGAATGTTTGTAGATTGATACAAAAAATCGAGCACTATATCAATATCATATGACTTGAATCTATTTCAGGTTCGACAAGGAATTCTGTAGGAGTTGACTGCCTTGCTAACTACCACAACTTAATTTTTGCATCTGCAGATGTTCCCATACATATGTTGAGAAGAAAGAAGCAAAAGTGATTTAGTTCATATTTCCCAGGTTTGATTGCACTCTTAAAGCTTGTTCAGATATGACACGGTACTGCGTGTAACAAAGTTCATATGCGTATTCACTGAGATCTATGTAGTAAGATAAAGAAATATGAAATGTATTACACTTACATTTTAATTTTTTTTTTATTTACCACAGCATATCTGAAGGAGGCTCTATAAGGACACAATCTGTCTAGAATCCAGACTAGAACTTGTTTCAAGTTGAATCACCTTCCTGTTTTTAGTGTTGTCATGGAAAATAATTGACAGGAAACAATAATCAAGCTGATCATGATAAGGCTTCTGCAGAACAGGTAGAAATGATACAGATTATCAGATAGTGGCTAGTCAGACAGGTCAAAAAGAACAGTTGGTATGACAAAGAATTTGCTTGTAATATTTCAACAGCCCCATTTTGGTGTTTACAATGAATGCATGCTTTTGATGGGGTAATGTTGGTAACGGTAAGCTTAATTGATAAATTCATGGTTCAGCCTGTCTCTGAGCATCGGTCATTTCTTGGGCGATTCGGTCCACCTTCTTCTTGAAATCACCGGTGGAAGTGGACAGTAGACCCAGGACACTGTCAAGCTTGGTCAGATCAGGCCGGTCACGACTGAACTTGAACTGCATGGGGTGGATACCATCAGCGGTCAGCAGACTGACCATCTGACCAGGAGCGTGCTGGCTGCGAAGGAAGGAGATGAAGACCAGTTTGGCATCGCTGTACACCTCTTCCCGGTATTTCTTGAATAGTGCTTGGAAGCTTCAGGTAGAGAAAGAAACAGAGTATATCTTGGTATTCAATGCATAAAATGTACAATGATGTATAATCTATGAAAAAAATAGAGGCAACAGTTTTGTGTGTCAACATGTATGCATTTAGATAATTTGAAAAATATTTTGCACACACCAAAGACAGTGTTGAGGGACAATTGAACTGACATTGATAAAGGATGGACATAATATCACTAGTAACATTAAACACCAAATACCATCTATGAATCTAAAGACTGTGTACATGATACACCTCCAGTATACACACATCATATCTCTTATATTTAGACTCAGAACAGTCTGGTCTGTTCTTGATGACATAAAAAAAAATAAAGTAACTATTCATTCACAAGATTTCAAATATTTTCTGAACAATTTCCATATTCCTTTGATGAAAAAGGTATGAACTAATGAAAAAGTCCCCAATTTGCTTTACATTATGATTTTGTAAATTTTTGCATAATTATATTGCTCAACCAATAAAACTTACATCTAATCTTGAACTTACCGATAGCCATTATTATCACAGTTTTCCTCCTCATCCGTCACAACTACGAATGTCTTGATAACCTCCTTGCGTTCATAATACGGCCAAAGACTGGCTGCAGGGGCCGTGCTTCCATGTGTCTTCAGAGTAGAGGCCATCTTAAGTATCTATGATCATAACATATCGTGATAACAATTTACTTATTTTCAAATACTTGTTAAATTCTTCCCAAAAAATACTTCATCTTTCTAGGCTTACTAGAATCTCTAATCGCAATTGGACATCAAAGAGGTTTGGATTAAAGTATGGCATCTAGTAGATAACCTTTCTCAATGAAACTAGCTGGCATAACATTTAAATTGCCATGGAAGTTTTTTTGACATTAATGTGAATAGTACTGTTTGAGCAGCGGTAGAGCTAATCCCTTATTAAGTCACGAGGAAAAAAAGGGGTTCAAGGGTTTGAACACTTACCTCAGTTATGGTTTTCGGGATCTTTTCAGGCACATAGTCCTTATTTGAGAAGAAGGAGAGTTTTGCATCTGTGATGGCAGTCAGAAGACCTGCTATGATAGTACTGGTCTTGATGGCAATGTCCATGGAAGGTGACCGGTCACCAAGTATAGCTACAGGAGCCTCCAAGGAAACCCTGATAAAAAAAACAAAATATCGTTTCCAGTTTAGTCATATATGGCTTCAAAGTTAAACAGCTTTCACTTGACCAAACCAGAGACAGATCCTTTGTTACAGGTTTTGATTGTTCACTAAGCAGACAAATATTCTGAAGGAATTCCTTCCCACCCGGTATCCATGTGACCTTTACATCTATCAGTCAAGTGCTTACATCACTTGTGTACAACACCTACATTCTCGTTTTGTATATTAGTTACTGAGCTGTAAACTCACTTCATGGTTTTGAGCCTCTTTGCTGCCTCGGGAATGAGAGACTCCATGACGCAGGATCCAATCCCTTGGGTCTTCATCAAAAGCAACCTCTCGATCAGCTTTCCTGAGGGTAGAGTCACTGCCTCCCCATCGCTGATACGACGGCAGATCACCTCATCTACCTTAGGGCAATGCAGATCCTCATAGTACCTAGAAAGAGAATATAAGGATCATTAGAGTAGATAATCTTGGATTCTATCTAATGATGAAATGGTATTTTAGAGCTCAAGAGGTATAGCTGGATGTAATCTTAGTTCTAGTAATTACTTTATTTTCAGAGAAGTGTCATTAAAACTAGCCCTGTAGTGTTAATTTGTCCAAAACTCCATGAATGTCAAGTCTGCCAACATAAAACTGACATGGCAAGTATTGAGATTGAAGTGTCGTCATCTCCTATGACGGTGGCAGTGGTGGGATATAAAACCATGCCAGTAAAGTGACAAGAGCTACATTAGATTAGTAGGTCCATGGTTCAATGAATGGGTCACAAAAGATTCATGGCACTCACCACAGGAGGGTGTCGACCTTCTCCTCGTAGGTGGCTATACGTTCCTTGCTCTCCTCTGTGAGATTGACGGTGAACTGCTTGATGTGAGTGTACGGAACATCCACTCCCTTTACCAATTCATCGATGTTTTCAGCATTCATCCCAGCACACTTGGCAACCAAGCTTTCACTTGGTGCTGGCTCACCAAAGCAGTATGGCAGGAACCATGGCTTCTCAGGAAAGTCCTACATTATAAACATATATATATATTTTATGAAAGGAATTACTCAAGCAATTATTCAAAGAATAAACTAATTAACGTTTCTTCTTCAGCTGACATTAATATTCTCATTCATTGCTATATACATTGGTCTAATAAAAAGTCACGTAACTGAACACAATATATATATACATGGAATAAAATTTATTTTAAAAGATTGAAACTACAAATATTATCAGAAAGAATATTAGTTCAGAAAATAGCAAAATAATAGAGTTTACATAAATTGGTGTTTCTTTACCCCCCATTTCCTTAAACAATAATGAAAGTCTTGCCGAAAGTTCAAAACTCTACAATTTTGTACCCATTTAAGAATGAAATTTGATATACATACATATACCGTTGGTACTGTGAAGTGTACATATAGAAAAATGAGGGAACTTTATGTTACCTTTTTTGGATTAAGATGGCAAATATCAGCCAGAGTTTTCCATGGTTCCTTGGGATAGTGCAGAGCATAGAATTCCAGCTGAGCACTGGTCAGACTGCGTACCCAACGGCGGATATGACGACTCAGCGCTCCACTCACTGAACCAACCTGTCATGCAAACACACACAGTACGGATAATCAAAACATAGCAATTAAATTCTTTGTGTTGGTAAATGGTTTATTTGTCCTGTGCTTGTAGCTCGTAGATGTATGCCATCATATTCTCTTGCACAAATTTTCTTTATGAGTTTGATTCCACATACATTTTAAGTCACAATTAGACATATATTCTTAAAGGTAAAGACCAGTTATGGTCATGCGATTGCATTGTGGAAGAAACGTTGTGGAATCGATCAGAAAAGGTTGATCATCTAGCATCTAGCATCTGCAAGGTTCTGGAATTATCAAAATGATAAGAAATTTGGCCCAGTCTTGGTAAAGTTACAAGCACTATACACAGAAAGATGTATATGGGACTACCCTATATCTCTCACAGACCATGAGAGAAACAAATTTACCAAATATATGAATTAGTAGGCGGTTTCCCGGCAAATTTTTTATCATGATGTATTAGTCAAAACATATTCTTTCACATGATTGGTAATGAGAGCTTCCATTTCATTTTTTGAAATTGGGGCGTTTCCAATACTGGTCTTTACCTTTAACCCTAGCCTACTCACATGTCCATAACACATAAACTACCTTGAATTTAAAAGCATCATAAAACCTGAGGCAATATCACTCGCACTGAATTAACCATAAATTTTCTAATGAAACTAAATACTTAATTTGTCAAAATAGATAGTTTACCTTAGGCTTGGTGGCATTGAAGTTGTCAATATCCGATTTGACCTTTGACATCTTTTTAGGGTTGACTTTGACCTTCTCCTGTATCTGTACCTGAAGCTGCCTGAGGTGGCGCTCTTTCTCCCGCATCCTACGCCCTGCATCCAGGAGGTTAAGAGCCTTCAGGATCTCTGCCATGGTGAAGGTTTCAGAGTCCTGAAGGAAGGTCTCAGCCAGGGCGTGGTCCTTGCGAGCCCATGCTACAGCCAATGCACGAACTTTAATCCCTGTTTGAATAAAATAATAATAATGATAATGAAAATGGTACTACTTACCGGTAACTGTATTAATAATAATAACAATACTAATGACAATGATAATTATAATAATAACAACATCAAACAACAACAACAACAACAATAATTTACATTTATAAAGCAATTAATTTACATGTTGTTTCTAAGCACTTTACATAACTTACAAGTTGAATAAGTAAAACGTAATAAACATAAAAATATAAACCAACATACGTTGATAATAGCTTAGCTGATTAAGACACACATCATGTACGCAAATACACAGTGTTCAAGAACTGACATGCCAAATAATGAATGAAGCCTTGGTTATATATGATGCTGCAAAACCGCTGGCGTTTTTTAATGATAACTTGAAGTATAATACACTTGACATTTCTGTCTCTCATAAAAAACAGAGCTTTGAATACACATATGACCTTTGTTGCTTGCAGCTCGTTTTCATTCAGATACGGGTTAAAAAACTGCAGTTTTGGGGGGAGAGGGATTGTTACCGTGTCATATCTTAACAAACATTTTGCAAGAATCCTTATTACCTTGAGAGACACTGACGCCATTGGCAAGCAGGACCTTCATAGTAGCCAGATAAACATTCTTGTAGCTTTCCTGAGCAGCCAAGTGCTGGTCAAAGGTCACTTTAGATGATGTGAAGAGCAACTCGGGTCGTTTCTCCTGTCACCAACAAAATGAAAGGTTGCACATAACCATATCAATTGGATGTAAACATACAGACATTTTTGTACTTTTCAAATCAGATCGTACCAAAATATGTCTTTTTTTGCTTGGTTAATTGCTCATTTTCTCAAAACACTATAATAAGTGATTAAAATGTATACTTAATATTCATAATCCTCTATTCAAAGATTCACTTTTACACACAATACACAACTGGGGATATTCATATGGAAACCAGTATGCAAGTATTTGATTGAAGGTGGTATTTAACTGTTTCTGGAGTGCATATATATGAATCTATTTTAAATTGCGCAGAAAAAAATAGACAGATTATTTCTTGAGAACTTTACATAACTATTTCTAAAACAATTAGTCAATAACTGCACTATATTCCTGCAAACTTAATAGTTATTTGATTATTATTTATTATTATTATCTTCTTTCCTGGTTGGATTTTTATACTTACCATTCTGATGGTGGAATCATATCTCAAAATAAGTTCAATGGTATGTGGAACAATTCCAAATCAGATTACCTTTTTATTTTGAAAAAACAAAAACAACTTACAAAGTCCTGATCAGAAGTAGCTGTTTCAGTGAGGTTCCATACATCTGTATCCTGATCAGACTGCTGTCCTCTGCCACCCTGATTCCTTCCACCACCCCGGCCACGTCCACGCCAACGTCCACGTCCTCGACCTCGTCCAGGCATTTTTGTTTTTATATGTGAATTGGGGTGTTGAATTTGGAAGGCTAGACTTTCATTAAGTGATGTTTGCTGTGGCTCAGGAGATTCCCGAGTGTCAATTACCTGTAGAAATCAATTATTTGAAAATTGTAGATATATATCCTATATATATTTGGAAGGCTAGATAAATATACACATATATATATATATATATATATATATATATATATATATATATATATACATATATTACTACATATCTCAGTGCAGATCGTCAAAGCTTGGTTGAGAGTTTAATTCAAAAGAGATATGATCACATTTCATATCTTGTAAACAACTTAAGTGTATTAGTTAAAGAGCAATTGAATGTAAATATGTATATAACAATTTTGGGATCCTGTGCGTTAAGCTATATCAGATTATTAAATGAACGTTTTTTTAAAATTATATTTAATTTGAAAATTCCATTCACCTATTTCTTGTAAATGATCAAGAATGATTCTTGAATGATCAGTTATTTCAAGGGGATACCAATTAATTTGTATTTTACCTGTTTATATGCTTGTGTATTTATCTATTTTGTTTTTAATGCTGTTATTTGTTTTTATTATTACCAAACAGCCAAAAAGGGCCTCATGGAAGACCACCAAATTGCAGCTTGTATAAATATCAGAAATAAATAAATAAATAATGTCTGGCTTGTTTTTTATGCTCTATAATTCTGGTAAGGTGGTATGGCAGTTCACCATTTACGGTAACGGGAATGAAAGTAATCATAATGAAAATAATTATAATCATAGTCATAATAATAACAACAAAAACAATAGAAATACCATGCATGCATAGTCGACATATTCAACTCCCTCCCTTCCGGCCTATAATCCTCTCTGCTTTTCCTACGACCCTCTCGGTCGCGCCTCCCGCTCGCCACAGCGGACTCTACGAGCAGGAACAGAGGCGAGCGCGAGGGGCCCGCGGTCGAGATCGAGAAGCGAATCTTCCCTTGCAGCTGAATGCTTTATGAAAGTCAAAGTAACAACTTACCTATCAGGTATTGCAGAGGGTACTTCACCTTCAATTTCCCATCAGCTCCGATTCTAATGGTGTTATCCAAAACTGGCAGAAGCTCTTTTATAATACTCTCGGACTATAGGCCACAGCAGCCGACAATTCTTGCACCACACGTTGACACACTTCTCTTGTCGTAATTGTTGTACCGTTTTTGAATGACGTAATCACTGGGAAATTGCTTGCTGCTAGTCTCAACAAATCAGACCGCTATATGAGAAATGGTGTTTCGATTTTTGTACTTCACCGTCAATTTCCCATCAGCTCCGATTCTAATGATGTTATCCAAAACTGGCAGAAGCTCTTTTATAATACTCTCGGACTATAGGCCACAGCAGCCGACAATTCTTGCACCACACGTTGACACCCATCTCTTGTTGTTGTACCGTTTTTGAATGACGAAATCAGTGGGAAATTGCTTGCTGCTAGTCTTAACAAATCAGACCGCTATGTGAGAAATGGTGTTTCGATCATGTTTTTTGTAGGACTATATATTTTATGATCAACTTGAAAAGTTCGGGAATGAATTGATTTACCCTTTCCAAATCTATATCTAGTTCATATATAGTTATCTAAGGATCTTGGCCCTCGTACTAGTATAAATTTGAGACTCAAATCTCATGCCCGATCATGCCCGATCCATGCAAATACATATTCAAATTATGGTTTGTCTACTTCTCCAGTCTACAGTCATAATTGCCTTTCATTTTGGGGTTTGTTTGTTTTTGTTCTCAATATCTGTCTATCTAGCTCTCTGTCTAACTAGCTGTTATATATATATATATATATATATATATATATATATATATATATATATATATTATAGATGCATAATTTTGTTAACTTTCGCTTACTCAGACATAGTGGTGGTGGTTATTTTATCTGACAGCTAAGAAAGTAATAAATGCTTGTTAGTAAGCAACCAGAAGACCGACGGCTTAAGGTCCTCTCCGAGGGGCCTGGTAATGAGGATAAATGCCTTACCAAAGGGCACTAGGCGCATCGACTTGGTTTCGAACCCGGGTCACCGGATAACGAGACCAATGCTCTACCGACTGAGCCATCGCAGACGTATATGAATAATAATTGTTTTTAGTAACAGCTAATTTACATCTAATTTGGCGTTTCATTGTCATAACTTGAATATTCTGTTCGCTTAAATGTCGATTCATATTTCTTGTGGTGGTATGTTGATAATTGTTTTTACATGTTTCTGTTACTTGAAGTTACTTTTAGTTACTGTTACTCATTCAGTTTACGCAGAGTAATTTTTTAATCATTGATGGGTGCTTTGTTGATGCTGGTTTGTCAATAGGTATACACATATGATGAGGATTCCTCATATTTTCTTTCATATTCGTATTAATGATTAATCTCATATTATTCATTCTATTCTGAAGAGTAAGTTTGAGAAACATGTCATCCTGAAGTCCGAACAAGAGCAATGTTAATTTTTCGACAATATGACCTTTCTCACTATGTTTTAATTGTTTTATTTTTCTTTATTTGTATGATTTTTTATTTTGTTTTATTTTTCTTTCTCTTGCATGAATATATATTTACTAGAGCCATGTAGTTATGCGTTTGTGCAGACAAGGGCGCTACACAGACTTGGGCACTTTTGAGTCCAGACCGATGTACATTATCTCTTTCATGACCTTTCAGAGAATCAACTCTGACTCTTTCCTTTTTCTGAAGTGCTAAGAACTGTATATGGCTGCTAGATATGGATGCATGAATAGAGCTAATTGGATGATTGACGTTAACAGACAACCAACATATAAGATCAAAGATGTTTATGTTACCAAGCGTTGATCTTATTTTTTTTTCTTTTGGGGGGTTAACCCTGTACAAAATTATTTGCACTTAAATATGTCAATAAAAATAACGCAGTACAAAGAGGTTGAATAAAAAAAAATGTATACATCTAGCCATGTCTTGTAGAATACACTATGTGAGAAATGACATGTACTTGTATTTTGCTTCTACCATTGTGTTGTATTTTGTACTTAACATTTTGATGATAATATATGTGTATGTAATTTCTGTACAATTCACATTGGTCAGGTTTGAAAGGTTATATGGTGAGAGAACCTTTTCATAACGAGCAGCTTGCAATATGATTTGTATAGCAATACAAGTTGTGAATGTATATTGTTTCGTTTGAAAGATGAAAACATAAAACATTGCTCAAGGATTTTTAAAGAAGTGCTTTGCCACACTTATCTGACTTCTTCTATTTTGCACTTCTAGATGCAGTCGATTCCCCATCATGATTCATCCACAATGTGTATGTGCATTTCAAAGTGTCACTTCCAAATACGGCCTAAACTGACCTGATGTATCCCCCGTTATCAAATAATTGGAAAACAACACAATGTAATGTAAATGTAACATACTTTTGCTTTTATATTTCTGCTATCCCATTGTCGAGAACCATAAGGACATTAGTAATACACTGTGATATAATGTACAGTTTGTACGCAAACCTTAATGCCCTTCTGGATCTCAGCTGCTGTTCTGTCGATGAGAAAGGTAGCGGTACAGACTTGAAAATGTTCTCCTTGGCCTTTATTCTGCTAAAAGTCAAACCCGACCCTGGGCTAAAGGTTTTTTTTTTGTTCGAATCGGGTTAACAAAGGAAGTCTGAGCTCTATTTTTTCTGATGCAATTCTTCTGTTTGAATGGGCAATGGACCGGTTTACTAACATTACAATTTTACGCATACTTTTTAAGCAAAGGCTTTTCTTGAAAACATGGAATCTTGCTTGAATTTTGAATAATTGAAATTAACAGCGGAAAAACATCAAATCACTTTAATAAAAAGCATTAACATATCACCAAACAGATTAGAAGAGGAAAAAGATAAAGGAAATTGGTAGAAAGTAGAGAAGAAAAGAGAGAATAAAAGAAAGGGAAGGAGAGGGAAAGGGAGAAAGAGAAGGAGAGGGAAAAGGAGAGAGAGATAGAGAGATATAAATAAGCCATGTCAAGAGCAGTATATGAATCGGCATTGTATCACACAGGTTTAAAAAAATTGTCCTTGTACATACGTTTAAAGACATCGATAGATTTAGCATTTTGAAAGGCAAAAGGAAAACTATTCCAGATTTTACCACCATGCAGCGTATCTAAAACAATTCTTAAAACACTTAAGATTAGGCTTGGGTAAAACAACATTCAACGTTTTGGCAAGTCTAATGTTAAAACCATGTCTGTGAAAAGCCGTTTCCACTTTACTGCACAATCGTACTGAGACTTTCCATGAATACAGTTGTATATTGTACATGCATAAAATAGTCCCGTCTAGTATCAATGGATTGCCATTTTAATGAATACATTATATTCAAGCTATTAACATCATATTCAAAATTCCCTACGACAGTGAGGTAGCAGTGCAAGAAAATATCTTATAAAGAGAGAGAGAAAAAATCCTGATGGGTTTTAAGCACGATCTAATAAAGAAAAGACCGAAAAGACTTTCAAAAAGGAACATAACTATATTTACTATATCAACTATAGCTGCAAGCGAGCTAAGGAAGAAATTAAAGAAAATGTACTTAAAGTCGCTTTAAATTAGGGGTGCATGTTATGGAGAAAGGAAAAGGGGGCAATAATCAAAAGGGAAAAGGACACCTTTTAGAAAACATAAAAGCACGTGTCAAAGTAAAAAAAAAGGGGACTTATTAGAGGTGAAAATTTAGTAATCATCGCACGGTGAAAGTGGCACTCATCAGAGATTAAAATATGGCACAGTATAATAAAGGAAAGGGGGCTTTTGTTGAACAAAATGGGCATCTATCAGATAGTAATAGGAACATTTATCAGAAGTGAAAAGGGGAATGTATGAGGGGAATGGGCTCTTTATAAAACAACGTGAGGGCACTTATCTCAAAAAAAGGGGGAACATGTCAAATAAAAGGGGCGGTTATCAGAGATGAAAAGGGGAACTCAATAGAAGCCGAAAGAGCAATTCGTAAAAGGAAAAGGGCCATTTGTCAAAGTTAAATGGGCACCTCTCAGATTTAAATAGCGGCAATTATAAGAGACGAAGTGGGCACTTATCGGGAAGGCACCATGCCCCTGCCCCTCCCTCCCGGAGCGCTGCCTCTTGAATGGATTTCGGATGACTATTAAAGGAATAATGAAAGATTATCGTATTATCGTATTTTGCAGCCAACATCAAATGGCAATGGCAATAACATGTAAAATGTACACTAAAAGGGAAAATAAAAAGTATTAAAGCACAAACAAATTCAAACATGGTGGCAAACCTCATTACAAGAAATATAATATATATAGGCGTGAAGTAAATGGTCTAGGAGAAGAAACAAACAAAAATGACATTACTAATATGAATTAAGAGGCACAAGAACTAATGTCCTTTGACGAGACATTGATCTACATTTGCCACACTCCACCCAGGTGAATTCAATGGGTACCTGGTAAATGAAACGCAGCGCGCGTAACAGCTGCACTGCTAAAGCCAGAGTATTATGCTACATTATTGTAGAGCGCTTAGAGACTTCTGATAAAGTAAGTGTTTGGCGCTATATAAGCAAGGATAATTATTATTATTATTATCAAATGGGATTCAAACCGTATAAAGCAATATAAATCAGTTGAAAATGAAGTATTGATAAGAAATATTTTATATATTTTGTTTAAATGGCAAGTAAGTGACACGATCCTATTTGTTATTGCTTAGGGAATTCCATAGAATGGGTTCATAGAATAATCCCAAATGTCCACAGTTCTTTTAAATACGGAAAATTCTCAATTTGAGCATTTTAGAATAACCATTGCTAAAGTAATGGTAGTCGCTTATAATGGATGTTAATAGATCGGTTTACTAACATATTCAAATTGTTACTTTTAAACATAGTTTGTTCACTTTTAAACAAAGTTTGTTCACTTTTAAACAAAGTTTGTTCTTGACAACCTGAAAGCTTGCCAGTGCCTTGCCCGATGTAGCAACAATATTATATACGGACTGAATTATTGTGGTTAATTCATTGATAACATGTTAAAGGGACTTTGTAACTTTGTTCAGATGAGAGAAAATGGTGCTAATGTAGTGACTTCAATGCTAGATGTACAATTAAAGATAATCTGAAAGTTTGAGTGAAAATAGACCATTATTAATGATAACAATTGGAAACACTGATCTGATCGATTCCTTGATTCTCCCAACTATATTATTATTACACTTTAAAGGGCCACTCTAACCCAACTAACATAGCCTTTCAAAACATGAATACACCTCTAATTATTAATATTCCAGCCTCTGATTTTTCAGAAATCTCTAAATTGACCAAAAAATGATAATAGCCATCCATTTTCACAGTTCTCACGCTTGTTGCGGGCTACGCCCCTCGGAAAAAGGTGATACGGTCACGTGGCTTGATGACGCATTTGCCGTCATCGCGGGCATGTCCAATTTGATAATTTCATAATTA